GGGAATGGGAAAAAATAAGGAGAGAAATGAATTACAGTAGATGGGATAGAGAGAGAAGATGGGAGGGGAGGGGAGGGGGGATAGTAGAGGATAGGAAAGGCAGCAGAATAAAACAGTTACTATTATGACATTATGTAAAAATGTGGATGTGTAACCGATGTGATTCTGCAATCTTTGTAATGTTTTGAATAAACAATTTTTTTTTAAAAAAAGACAACGGCAGAGAGGGGTAGGCATCCTTTTGTCTACCATCCTTCTGTCTGTCTGCACCTTCTCTGTGTGTCAACTCTACCACTGAACTACAACCCCTGTTTTTTCTATTTGTATGAAGAATATGGTTGGGATTTTAATAGAAATGCATTCAATCTGTGTAACACTTTTGGTAGTATGACCATTCAAATTCTAAAGGTTATAAAACTAAACTTCTCTGACCTCCAGAGAGGGTCATTTTAGTTAACTGATACTGTAATGATTAACTAAATTTATCTTTATTTTGCAAGTCACTGATTAGACTGAATCACGAAATATTGAATCATGGCACACAATCAGTAAATGTTGATCAGCCCAACTGAGGTGTTTTGTGTGGAATGAAAAGTCCAAGGTTCAGGGGACTTGGGTTCCAGCTTCCACTCTACCCTACCTGCCATGTGTATGTTCTTGACCAAGGGACTGCATCTCCAAGGCCCAACTTCCTCAGTCTTACAAAGGGAATAATTTTACTTTAGGGAAAGGAAATTAAGAGACTCTAAAGAGATATTATGGGGGTGAAAATTCTCTGTGAATTTCCAGAGTACCTGTAAACATGACTGATAAAACATTGTGTATTTGGGGACTTGACAAAACTTAATTTTTTTCTACTTCAATTTGAAATAACTACATTAATTTCACATTATGTACACTAGAAATAGTGCATGAAAATAGCTTGCATTCAGCAATAGATGAATGGATAAGAAATTGTATATGTACACAATGTAATATTACTCAGCCTTTCAAAAGAAGATATTGCCATTTGGGCAAGATTAATGAATCTTGGAGGAGTCATGCTAAGTGAAATAAGCTGACAAAGAAACATACTGTATGGGGCTGGGTGGTTGAGCACTTATCTAGCATGTGTAAGGCAGTGGGTTCGATCTTAGCAACCACATAAAAATGAATAAAAATAAAGGTATGCTGTCCATCTATAACCAAAAAAGAATATACTGGATGAGCTCACTTTTATGTCATATTAAAAAACCAAGTTAAATAATAGAAGCTGAGAGTAGAATGGTTGTTTCCAGGGGTGGGGAGGAAGAGGAAACGGGGAGAAGTAGGTCAAATTGTACAATTTGCAATTAGGATAAATAAGTATAGAGATCAAGGACTATAGCTAATAATTTTGTACTATATACAGGAAATTTGCTATAATGATGGATTTTAGGTGTTTTTACTCTGAAAGAAAAGATAACTATGAAAATTGATGGATTACTAGTAATCATTTCACTAGGTATATCAAAACATCATGTATGCTTTAAGTATACACATTGTTTTGTTTTATTTTTGATACCAAGGGTTAAACCCAGTGGCACTTAAACACTGAGACACATCCCCAGCTCCTTTTTATTTTATTTTATTTTAAATATTTGAGGGATGGGGTTATGGCTCAGTGGTAGAGCGCTCACCTGGCATGTAGGAGGCCCTGGATAGGATCCTCAGCACCACATATAACTATAATAAAGGTATTGTGTAAAAAAAATTGAGAAAAGGTCTTGCTAAGTTGCTGAAATTGGCTTTTGTATTTGGAATCCTACTATTTCAGTATCCCCAGCCGCTAGGATTACAGGGGTATGCCACCCACCCGGCAAGTATATACATTAAAAGTAAAATTTAAAATAGAAACAACTGGGGGCTGGGGCTGTAGCTCAGTGGTAAAGCACTTGCCTCGAATGCGTGAGGCTCTGGGTTCCATCCTCATCTACAACTAAAAAA